TAGTCAAGATATCCTGGATACCGATTAGGATTATGAACAGAGATCCTGGTGAATTTCTCATTGTCAGCTAGTGAAAAACGTGGGATTTTCATTCTTTATTTTTTAAGTTTTGGCTATAATTCTATCAAGGTGGCGACAGTGGCTCTGTAGCTTCTGTGAACGACAATTCCCACTTCGCATATTGAAAAGCACTAGTTGTAACGGAATAGATGTGAAATCATTCTACCGTCTAGACATCCTCCATTAAATTCGAGTCCACAATGCATTTTCGACATCAGGCAACCGGGTAAGTATGAAGAAAGAAAAAACTAATCAATCGACCTCACTGGTTCCATTTTGGCTGTCCCGACACTCGGCTACTCGACTGAATGACAAGTTCGAGAGCACATTAGCCACATGGTATCTTTACATACTCACGTTCAGTAACCCCCACCCACAAAATAAAGACAATGCAACCCGATTAAAGTTGAACGCATGAGTGAACTGAACAAAACCATGTTATTAAATGTAACGTAAACAGTCAAGATCGTGTTTTTAAAGACTGGCCCTCGGCTAATGGTGCCCCGTTCCAGATACGAAAATATATGTAATATGTTGAAATTATAGAAAACAGTATCGTCGGTGGGACTCCAACCCACACGGAACTTTTCACAATTTCAAAATAACGCTTCCATCTACCAAACAACAATTTGAACTATATGCGCGATAACTAAACATACTGTCCGACGAACTGTTGCACTAAACACCGGCAGTCGAAGATTTTTAGAAGACGAATATTCGCCAGTGGAAGTGTTCGACTACCGACGTTTACTTCGTTTGGAGCGAGCGTGTAAACAACTCTAAGGTAAGGCGTCGCGTATTTGATAATGATTCGATGGCAAATTCGTTGCCCCATCGAATACAGATTAGTCGGTTTCGTTTGTTAGGACACGTATTGCGCATGCCTAGCCATCATCTATTGCGCCGCGCCTTATTCGCAGTTGTGGCTCTAGGTTGGAAGAAACGGCGTGGAGGTGAACAGATGGTGTGGAAACGAGGCATGAAGAAATGCACAGAGCTATTAGGTGCCACGGGATTTCGAGGTTGGGATCCGAAAGACTCCGCAACTGGTTAGTTGGAGACATTTAAGGATATGGCAGCGAACCGACGGCAATGGCGTTCTTGTTGTCATTTCTTATCAGGTCAGAATGCTTGAAAAGATATGTATGCACACCTAGATTGTGTACTCTGTGTGTTGACCATAGAGGTTCACTTTATTCGCCTCCTTCAAATTAGGCCCAATCCCTCTCCACCTTGTGCTTTACCACTGGATTTTTGTACATTTTGAACTTGGCAGGGATCAGTGAAGTTCGCTTCACTGTATCTTGCTGTACGATGATGATGATGATAATGATGCCTTCGTACTTGCATGTCAACACTAAACTAGCTCATTCGTTTTTATACTCGGTAATATCTATCCATCCATGTTGTCGCCCTTTCGGACGGTAATCTATAGCTGGTGTTTGACACCGCGCGCTCTCAAATCAGATCATTTTCGGGCGTGAATGTGATTTTGCGAACGCACATTGCACAGTCGATCGGAAAACGGTCAGCATTAGGTTGTTTGAGCCTGGGGGAACAAGCTGTGCACCTTGTCGAATCTCCCCGGGACCAAATCACAACCGATTTCATCTGTCACTCGTCAAAAACAATCCGCAATAGCATCATTTACTTGACTCGCACTAGGATGATAATGATGATCGTGGTCACGGTTCTAGTGCACTGTTCGCGCGATTTTCGTGGAACGGGTGGGGAAAGAATAAACAACCACAGAAGAGGGAAAAAGAAACAGTCCAAAACTTTTCGTTGTAACATTAATTCCTTCGCCTTAGAACTGGTATACAACACTTCACTTTCTCGGATACGTCGTGCACTAGCACCAGCAGTCCGAGTGAAATAAAACATGGTTACCGGTGCAATCGACCGGCTGTCCTGATCGCGTCCCGGTCTCGTCAATATTTTTCACCCCCTTTTTTCTGTGTTCCACCAGTTACTCATCTGTACTTGCGGTTCGATCAAAAAGTGGGTGTTTTTTCCACCACAACTGAGGTCTGTGCAAAGTTCTCCGTTCAGCACACGTTCGCAGTGGGCACGTCATTCATTCGACTTGTTAACCAACTATTGAACTATAGACTCTAATAATCCAACAGTTACTTTTATCCTTCCTGATCGGCAAAACTCGACGTCAGTTTGAGTGCATCGATTGGTTATCACAGATTTGATTTTTTTTTCTATTGCCTGCGCCATATGAGACGTAAACATTGACTTATCGTAAGATCAAATCACAGAAAGTTCTTTACATTGAATTAGGTCCGACGTTAGCTATCACGAAACAAATCTCGCGTATTCGATCAGCTGGTTTATCGATCCGTTTTTGCACAACCTCGGTTCACGTTATCGACGATCATCACACATACATTTCTTTTTTTTCCCTTTCTGTCCGCAAAGAAAAACACTACATTATTGAGGAACCCACTCTTATGAATGGGAAATTGAAAACCTCATAAACACACACAGCGTCCTCATTTTTATGTCAGTTATCATTCTCTCCTAGATCGTATATGAACAACGGTGTTGGTGAATTGGTCCCAAACGAGAACATTTGCTATGCTTATTGGTTTCACGCATTCACTCATCAAACAGAGTTAATCTTTTTTTCTTTCCAAACGGAAAATTCAAACCAGCTGTTCTTTGCAGTAATAAAACTAGCGGATTTTTTTTGTTCATCCATCTACGAGGACTGATGACGGAAAGACTTGAGTGCATACAGACCAGCACCAGACCAGCACTGCCGCTGAACCGGGAATTCTTCTGTCTATGGGAAACATTCATTGTAATAAATTGGATAAATCCGTCAACTGGCCATTTACATTTATATAGGTAGAGCATTTAATATTGTTTTATCCTGTTCGCGGTGAATCTTATTACCCTATGTACAAAACGATCCCGACGTGCGTCAACAATTTGATTGATCTTCCACGTTGGTTACGACGTTCTTCCAGTTACCACGCTCGCATCGGTTAGTCGCTTGGAGACTAGCCAAGATAGAGATAATGTCTGGACGAAACACTTCTGATGGCATAGGGGGGGGGGGTCGAGCAGTTTGATCGCAATAGCTTCAGCCGTGGATAGAAGGATAAAGCGCACGGATTAAGATGATAACGGTGGAATGCGATAAATGGTTCCGAACGCTCGACTTCTGTGAATAAAATGGTTGTACCAGATAGTTTCCTTCCTTCGGTTTTGATCATTTCGATTGATTCCAACTCTACTATTGTCAACTATCGCGTTGAAAAGCTTCGGTAAATCATTTTATAAATATCATTCATTCGTTTA